TTGCGCTTCACCTTGGCGGCCGTGCCGGAGGGCTCTGCGTTGAGAGAGGGACTAGAGCGGGACTTTTTCAGGCCGTCGTCCTCCCCACCCGCTGCGTCAAAGAGGGTGGACTCGAATGCTGCCAGGTCCTCGGAGCCGGCCTTCAGCTTGGCCCGCAGCAGCATGGCGTAGGTGCCGTAGCGGGATTTCTGGGGGGCACAGTGCAGCAGAGAGAGGGGTCAGCGAGCTGGACACTGCCCCTCAGCCAGTGTCCCTGGGGTGGTGCCAACACCCCAGACAGTACTCTAGGGCCAGGGGGATGCTTGTGGTCCCGGGCCACAGCAGCGGCATAGTGCAATTCAGCTGAGGGGCATGGGGGGGTAGGTGGGAGGGGTTGCCATCACCCAGGTAGGCAGGGGGTGTTGGGGGGGGCCCCTCCCAGCTCACCTCAAACACCCAGCTCACCTCAAACTCCAGGTACTCTTCCTTCTGCTTCAACTCCTCATACTCTTTGCCCTTCACCTTCTTCTCGGGCAGTGAGGAGCGATGTTCCAGCAGCTCCGCTGACATCGTCTTGAACTTAGTCTCATGGTTCTTCACCTGCTCCTCCTGGGGAAGTGTGGCACCATGTCAGTTCCTGGCTCTGCCCTCTGCTCTGTCCCCCAGGCAGTGTGAGCCGGTGGGGCCAGAACAGGTTTTCCCTCTCCTAGATCCAGCCAGGATCTCAGCATTTGCTCCTGGGTTTATTTTGTTGGGTTTGGTTTTTTTGCTTTTTGAATGGCAGGCAAAAGCACAGGCCCTTGGGGGCAACCTGCTCCTGCCTCATGGGGACTGGCTGCAGTCTTAAAGCAGAAGAATCTAATCCCCTCTAAAACTAGACTGGTGGGTTTTTTTAATCCTTTGTGCTCTATGAATAACTACCCTGGCACACGCAATCACCAGCTAATCCTCTGGGCTGGTCGCCTTTCAAAGTCCTGGCCCTGTCAGGATCCTGCAAGCTGTGGTGTGGGACCATGTTCTCCTTCATAGCCTGACCCCATTGTCCATCCCCCATCCCCACTACCAGGAACAAGACCCTGCTTCTGCCCCCAACCTCAGCAACCCCATTGCTCTGTGTCCCAGCCACGCTCCCATGGCTGTGCACCCCCCTGGGAAGCGGCTGGCCACGCAGCACCACACAGGCTCCTCCTGAGGTGGCAGTGAGGGGGTCTGTCCCATGCTCCTGGCTACCCCCACACCATAGCCTACCTGGGACAGCCTGGTACAGGAGCTGGGCAGCAACGGGCGGCTGAACTTCTTCTGGGAGCCGATGGCTGCGGGGGAGGGGGGTGCGGAGAACATGGCTGCCACCACATTGATGCGCGTGATCCACGAGTGCATCTGTTCAGGGTTCCTGGGGAGGAAGGCCAAACCACAGGCGTGCTTTGCGTGGCACTCATCTGTGTCACAGGCAGAGGGACCTCCCCTGCAGACAAGACTGGGGTTCTCCAGGCCTGGCCCTGGCCAGACGTGGCACCTGGGGCTCTGCCTCCAGCAACTTGGGCCATTGTGAGCCCATCAGGGTGGGAAGAAGAGGACCTAGGCAGGGCACAGCACTGGGTCTCTCTCCTTCCAGAAAGGGCCAGGACAGCAGAGAGCCATATGGCCCTAAGCCCCATCGCACCCTAGTCAGACAAGCCTCTGTGCCCCAGCACGGGGCCCAGCTAGTAATCCTTGGGGACTCACTGTGCTTGGAAGAGGAAGACTCTCCAGTCAGCTGTCCTGAGGTAGAAGACATTGGGTCGCTTGCTGTAGTCAGATGCCCGTGTGGCAAGTGAATGGTGGATGCTAATTGCATTCTTCAGCTCCTCTTCTGCCAGTGCCTTCCCTGGCTTATACTCCTCCTGCGTATCACAGGACATTTCAGAGCCAGTTAGGGATGCACCCCACCATGAGTCAGCTCTACAAGGCCACCAGAACCACAGGCAAGCACCAGAGGTGGTGGGGCTTGGAGATCACCCTCCACCTGTCTGCTGTGGGCTCTGCCTCTGGAGAGAAGCTGCACAGCACGGGTGTGGGAGCTTGGCAACAGCACGGTGGCTCTACCCCACCACCCCATGGCAGCTGGGCTGTGTGTGCCTGCAGGAGACACGATGTGCAGCCCACCTCTTGCACCCAGGGTGAATACCTTGGTGCCTCCCCTTTCCCCAGCCAAGTCCCTCCACACAGGGCCCCTTGCTGGCAGTGGCTTTTACTGCCCAGGTTGAGCCTAAACACCCTGGGAACAGGCATGCCACCAGGTCCCCAAGCAACTGCTCAAGCAGGCATGGTGCTGAATCTGCTTAGGCCAGGCTTTGCAATACTGCATGCTGGAGCACTTCCCTCACTGCTGTGGGCACTGCCACGACAGCCTCCCTGGGTTGGGAACGATCCCCCTCCCTGGCAGGGACACGGGTGGCCCCGCTGCTGCCTACCTTCTGCAGGTAGAGAATCATTCCCTTCAGGATGGCGTGAAAAGGCTTCCAGCTGCGCTTCCCTCGGGGTGCTGCCGGGGAGGACAGAGCGGCCCAGACATCAGCCCCAGCCCCGAGTGGGACGAAGGCATCCCCCCTCTTCATCCTCCTCCACCCGGCCTTTCCACGACGCACGTC